ACAACGCTTGTTAAATGTTTGTTTTGTTTACGTTACGCCTTTTGTTTCTTGTTTGAGTTGTTAAATTTTTAGTGGCCATTCTCAATTATTATATTTTGAATTGAAAGAAAATGGATGGAGAGGCTGTCGGTGATGGTGGCACTAAATTGTCTGTGGACCAAAAAGAAATTATGGTGGCTTTTGACTTAGTGGTTATATTCTAATATATTTTAAATTTACTGCAGCTTAGTAATACTTACCCTAAACATTTTGGGTCTCCTAGAGGCATAAACACCCTCCTCCAAATATGGTTCTAATATCATTATCAAATAATTTGCAGCTTGTTTATTAAGGCGGAATTGCTGCCTAAATTGAGCATCACTTAGTGAAAAAGGATTTTGAGTATCCCGTAACATTCTTTTAAGGCTGTATGACACTATGCATTTTCTTGTATCATTTCTTATATCGTTTCTGATATAACAAAAAATGGATAGTGTCATACAAGCGTATAGTTCTTATATCAGAAACGATACAAGAATTTGTGTCCGCTGCAGTTTCTTGTACAAGAAATGCGCCAATTTGTGCGCAAAAACGTAAAACTTATGTCATAATGGCAGCTGGAGGAGAACTTTGATATACAATTAGACCAAGCAGACATCAGAGAAAAGTGCCCACCAGGCACCAACAATAACCAAGATTAGAACAGCAGTAGCCAAATTGAAAAACAATAAATCACAGGGATTGGATCAAATAGCATCGGAACTACTGAAAGTAGGAAGAGATGTATTACTAAAAATACATAACCGCTCTAAAAAATTTGTGATGAGTTTAAAAATTATTTTATATCTCCAAATAGGAGAGTAGAATTTCAAGAGCATGCCATTCAAACACATAATTTGTAAAAAAAACAAATAAATTATTACAACCAAATTATTTATTATTTCTATCTTCCATTACAGCCTGTTGAATATCTTCAAAAATTGTGGTTTCCAATTTAGTTTTAATATTGGGACATTTTATTTCTTTCATTTTTGCACCACAGTATTTAAAAAATAATCAGTAGCATCTGGCTTGGGGTCCTCAGGTACTGCAGTTCTATTTTTATAGGTGTTAAAATTTCGACCACTCATGTGCCAATTCACATACAATTTCTGGTAACAGAACTTGCATATTGCCATACAGAGCACAAATGTACGATACAAGAAATCATAAATAACTTTCGATATCAGAAACGATATAAGCAATTGCATAGTGTCATACGGCCATTATACTCGGTTATGAGCGTCGGATATCTATCCTCTCTAATTCCTTCAAAACCAGCAAATGTCCATAAAATGCATCCATATTAATACTTTTTGAATCAGTTTTCCTTGCAAGAATCAAACAAAACAACACCGCCTAAACTCACCTAATCTCACTTCTCCCAGTCCAGTCATGGTCAGTCATGGGACATTAATTTCGACTCGAAATAAAATGTCAACCACTTTCTTGAAGTTGAAATTAATTTCGATGAATCTAAAATTAGTGACGTCCTTTGGTTAGTTCAGCTGAAATCCACTTGGCTCGCAAAGTCGCATTTCGACGTCGCCATATTAATTTCGGCATGTTTTGAGTTGTAATCTCAATTAGAATCAGGGCAGGGCCCAGCTCTACACTAAAACTCAGTTCAGTTAGAGCAGTTTTGAGAAGGTCTATTAAGTTTGTTTTGTGTTTTTTATTACCAAAAATTTATCTTGAAATAATGTTGGTACGGTGATTATTAAACTTTATCTCTGTCGATTATTACTTTTTCATGCGACGCAAGCGCACAAGGTGAGGTAAGTTTTGTGGTGACAGAAAGTTTCGATAATAAATTAGCAATAATAGGAATGCAAAAAAAACATGTAATTTATTTAAAATAATATGAACAAAAAATATATAATAAAAAACTAAGTCTCATGGTTCGTTTTTATCGAATTCTTAAGAATTATTAAGAACTGGAGCGCTGTAAAATTCAGAAAGGTTAATGAAATTATATAAATTTGTAGTAAAAATTAGTTTTTGAAAAACTTTTCGTTTTTGAAAAACGTTTTTTTTTTCACGTCATTTTATTGTAAATTTACAAGTAAACAAGTTCTAGGGCCCAAAAAATTTTTTTTCAAAAATTTTAAGTTATTTTCTTAATACCTTTTTTATTTTCGAACAATAGAAATTCATATTTCAGAGGTAGAAATCCAAACAATATAAAATTAATAGGAAACTTCCAGATATAAGAAGATTTAACCAAAGAGAAAATTAAATCAGCGTTCAAATGTATAAAGAACAACAAAACATTTGGAAAAGATGGCGTTGTAAGTGATACATTTAGGACTCGAAGGCATCATCAAATCTTTAAAAACTTTTTATAATGCCTACATCTTTGAATAAATTATACTTGCTAGGAAAATGGAATAGTACCTGTATGATAATATTTTATAAAAATAATTTTTTTAAGACGTTTAAAGCACGTGTACACGAGTTGGTCTTAAAATTACATTTCCCAAAATACAATACATGACTTACCTTGAACTGGCCAAAAACATTTCAACTAATAAAAAGACAATTAAACAAGTATATACCTATAAGTATCTGGGCCACGAGATAAATTTGAAAGCTACAATCAAACAACAGAGTTAAACAGGAGAATAGGACTAACATGGGCAGGTTATGGAAAACTAAGGAAATTCTTTATATAAAATATTTCCATGTGCTTGAAAAACAGGTCTTTGATTATTGTATACTCCTAGTTCTTACGTATGGAGCAGAAACAATAACTTTTACCAGAAAAGTAATTAATAAGATACAAAGTGGCACCTGGATAAACGGAGAGGTCAATTTTGAGTATATATCTCAGTGACAGAGTCTCAAATTAAATGGTTAGGAGAAAATATGGTGTTACGGATGCCATTAAAAGAATTACAATGCTTAAAATAGCTGCAGGACATGTTGCCAAAGTAAGAGATGAAAGATGGACCAAGAAAATTTTGCAATGGAGATCTAGACATTATCCTTGTCGTAATCAAGACAGTAAGGTAGACAGAAGATATCCAACGTGTCCAGCACAACTGGGTTTATGATGATTAGATTTCTACAAAGCATAATTAGATAATAACTCAGATAATCCCAAGATATATTGTTCTTTTATTTTTAAAAATTAAGTGTAGTAGAAAACAGAAAATACAACGCCTTATGAAAGATCCAAACGCATATGAGTCAGTTAGGTCAAGAAATATATCAAATGAAGAATGTTATACACATCTTCTTCTTCTTCTTGGGCCGTCTTCTAACGAAGGTTGGCGATCACTTCTTTAAACGCTTCTCGATCTTTTGCAACGTGAAATATCTGTTCAACACTGAGGTTAGTCCAATGTCTGATATTCCTCAGCCAAGATTTCTTCTTTCTTCCCAAGCCTTTTCTTCCCTCTACTCTACCTTGCATGATGACTTGTAGCAGAGAGTATTTATCGTTTCGGAGTATGTGGCCCAGATACGATATTAGTAGTAGTACGATGTAGTAGAAATTAAAAACAAAATTACTAACAATTTCTTATTTTAGATTTTAGATGTTTTAGAAGGTTTGTAATGTGAAAGTTTAAATTTGTTATTTTTTAAGCGTACTGCCCAAATACCCCACATTTTCTGCCAAAACTAAAAACTAAAATTTCATAAGGTAGGTTTTAAAAATTAGGCTCTATTTATCGAAACTCCACAGTGAACGGTTAAAAATGATTTATTGTATTCTAAAAGTCGCGTCACGTTTATTTATTATCCGCCTATATAAAACTCAATTTATTTGCGTCAAAATACAAAAAACCTTTAACACACATCTTGATTTTTGTCGATAGGAAACTCAAATCAAAAGATCGAATTTTTACCGTCGAGCTGATACAAATTTTATTGAACGTTGTTTCTAAGAGAACCGTTCATTCTACACAAAAAAACACTAATAAACATTTTTGTTCCAAATTATCTTCATTATCCAAATTGGCTACATTTTGCCAATCCCAAGAAACCATCCAACATCTTGGCTGCCAGGCATTTGTCGGTACCGATTATAAAGAACGCCATGACTCAGTAGGAAAGATTATCCACCAGGAACTAGCTGACAAACTGGGACTTCTACAAACCGACCATCTTTCTTATTATCAATATGTCCCTGACAGAATGCTTGAAAATGACAACTACAAGCTATACTGGGACCACGCTGTGCTCACAGACCAACCAGTGGCCCATAATAGACCGGATCTCATACTAGTGAATAAAATTACCAGGCAAACAACACTTATTGATGTGGCGATACCTAACACTAACAATTTGCGTGTTTAATACAACGAAAAGATCGCCAAGTATAGAGATATGGAAATACAAATCAAGAGACAATGGAGAATGGAAAGTACCCAGACAGTACCTATTGTTCTATCTACTACGGTGTTATTCCCAAAAACCTCCTAGCGAACATAAAACAGCTGGGTCTAAATGAACATCTTTATAAGGCCATGCAGAAAGCTGTACTCCTCGCGACGTCCAGATGTGTACGAAAATTTCTGGGAGATACTCCAACATACCAAGTCACCTAGGGCTCGATAACACGGAAAGAGTCCTACCAGAGCTCAATCCTTTTGATACCGTAGGTATCTGGGATGAGTGAATTTTTCCCTTAGAGGAGTGTGAGCTGAATCGCTAAATCTGTCATTCCAACAGTACAGTACCTATTTGGAAGATTTTTCCTTAAAAATATTTACAATAAATATATTTCCTGTATCTACTAGCTGTAAGCTGACCCTTTATTTTACAGCGTCAAAGATCTTAGGTTGAGGTTTATTTTGATATATTCGTTATTTCCATATTTCTTTAACGGTTTTTTACATATTCTATCGTTTTCTGTGGAACTTGGTACATTTTGTCAAGTCTAATTTTGTTTGATATTGACATAATAATTATTGTAGTTTGTTGACTTTATTACTAAAGCAGATCATTTTTATAATAATCATTTCAATTTTTAGAATTTCCAGACGCTTGCGGTCCAAATGCAAGATTTGTATCATGCGCATCTTGTTGTGAGGAAGAAACCTGCGAACGTAGAAATCCACCATCATGTCAAAATTGCCCAGCGGTGTGCAGGGGTCCAGGATGCGAATGTTTACCAGGATACATTAGAAAGATGAAAGGTGGACCTTGCGTGGACGTCAAAAGTTGTTAAAAATATAGTATAAATAGTAAATGTAGTTGAAATGGAATGTAATTTAGTTTGTTTTGACTGTAGTAAATAAAGAACTTATTCTTTATATTAAATTTTATTTTAATAGAAAAATAGAAATATTTAATAATTTAAAAAGTAAATTATGTAAATAGTCAAATAATAAAAACGTTAAAATAAATATATAGAAATATATAAAATTAAAATATATCGCAACTGTAACTTATAAAAAAACAACAAATTACTCCAGTAAATAATCGTTTTGGAGTGTAATTTTTCTCTTCACAAGGAATTTGCCTTAAAATTTGGAGTTAGGTTTCTTTTACCCTCTACTTTACTTTCATAAATAACTCAAATAGTAAGTATTTATCGAAAATAAATATTCTTAGAAAAATAAAAAAAAATGGTGTACTTATGTCAGACTTAAGTCTGTAGACAGAGTATAAGCAGAGTGGTAGCTTATGAAAAGTAAGTTCTTATTTGTCAAATTCCAAATCGCATATATTTTAACATGAAATAACCAAAAATGAAGAAAAACATTTTGAAAGTGTTAGGAAAAGCTACATTTTTGTTTTTTTGTAGGTTTTAGCATAAATCTAAGCGAGTTACGCTCAAAATAATGTTGGTTCTTTTTTTGGTAAAAGAATCGTGAAAATCTTCTTCTAATTAGCACCCCTGAACAAATTCGAATGTAAATATAAATTTAAATTGTTTCTTCTTCCCTGTATCCGATTCTTCTAGATAGACGATGATAAAATAAAATATTGAAGTCGTGGAGTAAAACATAGTTTTATTGGCAGCTACTTAATTATTACAATATAGTAATTGTTAAGGTAAAAATTTATAAAGGTATTTTATAATGAACTAAAAAATTTACAACAAACTACTCCCAAAGCTATATTTGAGAAGATTACATACGTTTATTATGATTTCTATTGAATGTAAAATGTATTCTAATAATTACATAAACCGCTTACACAAAAAATAACAATGACACTTTACAGTTTATATTTCAAAAAATTTAATATTACATATGTACAATTATAAATAAATATTATAATATAAATTGTTATATTAAATATATTAAATTATCATAAACAACATGGGAACTGTCTTACTAAACTCCTTGACGAATTCTACTAAGTCCTCTCTTAAATTGATTAACTGTGTTAGAAATCAAAATAAAAACATGCCATTGAATTATTTTTCACAAAAGCAATAAAATAATGCCTGTTTAATTCACCTTAGGTTAAATATGTTTAAGCTACAGACTGCAAAAGAATATTAAGTAACATTACATATGTCTTCTTCTTCAAGTGCCATCTTCGTTCCGAAGGTTGGCGATCATCAGGGCTATACGTATTTTCGAAACTGCTGACCGAAACAATTCGTTGTTGCTACAACTATACCATTCCCGTAGATTCTTTAGCCAGGAGTTTCGTCTTCTTCCTATGGACCTTTTTCCTGCTATTTTCCCTTGCATAATTATTCGAAGCAGTTCATATCTTTCGCCTCTTGTAATGTGGCCCAAGTATTGCAGTTTTCGTTTTTTGATTGTAAATATGACTTCCTTTTCTTTACATATGTAATAAAAAATAAATAATGAAATATGCACTGCTTGAATTAAAGGTTTGACTTCGGCTGACAAATGAAGAGAAATGTACTCACAATAACTCAGATTGAGCTGTAAGTCAGATCACTTTGTTACACTTTGATTACGCTTTGATGATGAACAGTTACGCTTTGATACAAAATAACGATGAAACTTAGTATATAGTCGAATAAAGATAACATTTTTTTCCTTACATGACGTATTAACCACGCAGGATTATTAGCGTGTATGGATTGTGATACAGAGCACAGTTAGAACTTATTAATAAAATATTAACTACAACAATACATAAATAGAAATAAACCTTAATCTATACATAGTAAAATTTTATATTTTTGATATCAGCTTGCAGTCTTTGAGAAAGGCGAAAATATTTTTAGTCTCACTGTCTAAAGATAACCTTATGAAACCTATTATAAGATTTAGTGTTAGAACAGTGAATTCATCGCCCCGTTGTTGAAATATTGGGGAATGGTCGACTAGGGATCTTATTATGTCGTTTGCAGGACGTGATTTAAATAATATTTTAATTTTTGGGGAAGATTACCTGTGGAGAAGATATATTTTACTGAAAATGCTTACCTCTCTTTTTATTTCTATAAAGGAGAGCGTCAGCAATCGAACCTCCAAAATCTTACATTTGCAATGTTTTATTTTATTTATTAATAATCTCATTTTTACTACAAAACTTTACAACCTTTAAGCAATGGATTCTTTATTATTTATCTCGTTTAAAAAAACTATTACTCATTTTGATTCAAGTGCATTTATGGTTATTTACTACCCAGGTCCATTTTTTTTTCAACAACTTTCCACACAAGGTCCATTTTCAGTCTTTCTGATGTATCCTAGTAAACATTCACATCCTGAAATGCATACAGCAGGACAAATGTTACATCGGGGAGGGATTCTGCGTTGGCAGGTTGGCTCTTTACAACAAGATTTGCATTGTATCCATTGTTGATTTGGACCACACCGATCTAAAAATTTGAATTTTTATTTTAAAAGTAGGATATTAAACACTCTGTAAACTTGATAAATTTCCTTAATTTTCAAAAGTATCTCTCATTTTATATGATTTTTTACATAAATACCCAGTCAGTATAGGGAAGATAGAAGCAAAAATAAATGCAAGCATAAAGCTAAGACACAGAATAATAAACAATCAGAATGCTCGCTCTGCTTGTAAAAATAAGTACATGCATCTCGTTCGCGCAGACAGAATCAGACATGTTTTAAACGAAACCAGTGCTGTTCAGTGACATTTTATTTGGTGTGCATAGACAAACTAACCCGGTGTAATTTTTTTTTTTTTTTTATTTAAACACAAAACCACATCAACCGCGCAGGGTTATTAGTGGCTGTAACAAATACATAAAATATTACATTAAATACAATTGAATGATACATTAAGTACAATTGAATATTACATTAAATACAATTGAATAAATTGATGTCTTTTAAATAGCTTAACACTGTTGAAATTTTTTTGGTGAGAACTGTCTTGAGATCATCATCTGTGAATCCATGGGATCTTCTTTTTTCCATGAATTGAGGACAATCAAGCAAGATATGTTTGACAGTCAGTGGGTTAGAGCAGCTGCAGCAGATAGGTAGTGGTTCTTTTGTTATTAAGTATTTGTGTGTTAAGGCAGTATGGCCAATTCTTAGACGATTAATAATGACTTGGTTTCTTCTGTTTAAAGGAGTCTCTAGAACATCAGTTATTTTTGGGCAAATTACATTTAGTTTAGTACCTAATTTTTCCCAATAATTTTGCCAAGTATTAATACAATGGATTTTAACCAGGTTTTTTTTTTTCGAAGAAGATTAGGGCATATCCCCTAAAATTATTTTTGGGTGTGGAATTTGATCAAGAAGGTTATTTAGTTCTTGTAGGTCTAGCTCGCTAGGATGTGGTAAATAAATGTTGCATATATTAATATGTTTTTGGTACGTTATACTCACTGCTACAGCTTCGAGATTAGTTCTTAATACAATTGGTTTAGCTTCTAGGTCTGTACTTACAAAGATAGCTACTCCGCCACTGGCGTGTTGTGCTACTCTGTTTTTTGGAAAACACTGATAATTACGAAGATTTATATTAACTTGTTTAAAATGAGTTTCTTGAAGACATAGGATCTTTGGGCATAATTCGTTTATTAAAAGTTTTAACGGTTCTAGATGGGTATAAAACCCATTAAGATTCCACTGTAGAATAAAGGAATTGGACATGTTAGAATTCTGCTTGAGATAATTGTTCATCTGTCTCTTCTGTGGAAGAGATATTATTGGGGTTTATTTTCTTTTTTAATCTAGTTATATTATTTTTTAATTTTGAATTGTGGGTATAAGCGTGAACAAAATTAAGGATCTCAATTAGCTCGGCATTTTCATTAGAGTAATCTTTAGAAATTATTTCAGGGTGTTTGGCATATATTGTGTTTTCTAGGAAGTCACATATTTCATTATAATTTAAGATAAAAGGTGGTGATCTGTTTTCTATTTGGTCTTTTATTGACTCTAGTGAAAGTAAAAGTTCTTCCCGGGAATTTCTGGATGACTTTTTTGACTTTTTTTTTGGTTTGCTTACTACAGGAGGAGTAAATATCTGTGAATCGGTCTGTGGGGTATTTTCGTTAATGTCTGGAGAAGATGAGATGAACCTTTTTAGTTGATTAGGGACATTTGTAGTAATTGGATTTGGTGTTATTTCTACTGGAGTAGGATTTCTGATGTTGTTTGAGGTTGTAGGTGTTGAAGTATTTAAGGAAGATATTTCACTTCTATTACTTATGGATCCTGTCTGGTTATTGTCAGTTTCCATAATTTGTTCTGTTTGGTTATTAGAGGATTTTGTTGGAATTGATGTGTCTTGAAAAGTTTCTGGGTGTGCACTAGCAGTGGATGAATTAGCTTTGTCAAAACTTTGTAGTTCTGTTTGGTTATTAGATGTATTTACTGTAGGTAATATATTTTGAGAGGTTTGTGAGTGTATATTAGAAGTAGTGGGGTTTTCTTGGTTAGAGCATTCAGCTTCCTGATGACCAATAGTCTTGCATTTTGTACAGTTAAATCCTTCTATAGAAAGGTATAAACGATAATTGGTATTATCATAAGAGATAATGAAAGAATCAGGAATAGATATATTGTCTAAAGGTGTAATAAAGATTTGCCTTCTAAAACTCAAGACATGGTTGTATTCGCTTTCAGGCATGCCTACTCGTAGGAAAGTCATTTTTGAGACAGGGTTTATACCCATCTGATGTAGTTCTTGTTCAATTAACGTGTTTGGAACAGTATGGCAAGCATTTGATATGACTAGTCTTTGAGCTGGAGAGATAAGTCTTCTTATTTCTATTTGAGTTTCTTTTATAATAACATATTTGTAGGAATGTAGTAGTGAATCAACTGCATTTTTAGATGAAAGATATATACATATTCTGTTGTTGGCAATTCTGGAAGCGAAGGATACGTTA